AGAGGCAACTGAAGTGCAGGCACTTGATAGCCTCCCAGCCAAACCAGTCAGAGGCTCCAAGATCTACCGGTAGATCCTGATCTACTGGTAGGTGACCACTGATCTAGGGCCAGTGCCTGTTGTTTTCTTGAGCCCTTGCCCACAGTTCTCCCTCCTGGGGAATGTCTGAGTGAAAGAGAAGATTCATAGACAGGTCATTATGGTAGAAGCTTCCTCTTTAGTTGTTGCAGAGCACTACTCCTCCAGAAAATCACCTCTTTCTCATCGACCACTCCAAAGGTGCTGACGCTCCCATTATCCTGATCTTCTTTCAGGAGCATGCTTGGCATCTCCTGCTTAGAGTCAAATTTGTAACCCTGCAGCAATGTCATTAGGATATTAATTTATTTGATCAATGCATAATTTAAGTGCTGAATGTAAATAGGAAGAATTGGAAGTAAGCATAGGAACAGGGGCTTATAACTTGATGATCTCAAGAGTTCTGCATTTTGAGGGCATGAGGTGGATGGGAACCTGGTATAAATCTATAGTATGGTTAAACTTAAATCAAATGGGCAGAGAAACAGTGTGTTCTATAATAACTTCCTATAAGAGAATTTCATGATCAAAGACAAGCAAAAATGTATAAATGTCTTACTGAGTGAAAAATTATTATATCACAGTTATTCACATGTCCCTTTATCCTGTTATTGTCAGATTGTAACATTGGTTTGCCTGACTGAAAGATATCTAATCTTTGCATTGTTCTACATCTAATTTTTTAAAGAAAATAATTTCCCTGTGTGCTTCCTGACAGTCATATTATTTTGAACATAATCCAGAGGACACAAGAAGTAATCACTTACATGTGACAGGTACATTTTATCAATACTGAAGATTTTAAAACACTTTATTTATTGAAAGATTTTCTCTTTCATTTTAATGATCTGCTGTTAATTTCTAATAAAGAAAAATGAGTAATTAACTAAAGTTAAAAATATCAATCTCTCCATTTGCATCTGATCTACATTTTCTATGGTAACATTATGAAGAAACAATTTAGCAATTAGCACTCAATTTAAATGAGGAATTAGTTTAAATAAATTATCTGTGTTCTCCTCAAGCAAAATTGTCAATCTAAATAAAAGGGGATCTGTTAATTATGTTTACTCTCTCAAAAAAACTCAATAGTTATATTTTAATTATATTTTTAGCCAATCATTTCAGAGAAACACAAATATGTTGATTTCTGCTGATATTTTTTAAATGAACTACTTTCCCAAAGAAATTAGCCATGTCTCTTCTGAGAGAACACAGATCTGGGATGATGAAAACAAAATACGCATGAACCATTCTACACTGGTGGTGGCTGACATGCATTAATTGTGATATCACTTGCTGAGAGTGCTCCCACTCACAAGTACTAAGAATCCTGCATCAGTGTCTGTGCATTAGGGAAAAAGTGAATTACAACAACACTTTTGAAAACAAACATCTTAGATCTGAATATTTATCTTGAGAGAAATTCTTGTCCCATTGAAGTTTAATGGCAAAACTCTCGAATTTGGTATGCAGCTTCCTCTATTCATACTTTAAAAGCAATGTAAGGATTTGATTCTGTTGGGACAATGGGATGTGCATGGAATGTGATTGTTTCACATCAAATGGAAAGGGAGGGGTGTGATCGCAGGGACAGTTACACTCCCAAGTGACAATGGGGGGCAGCAAGTGCCCTGGACCCACAGAGCAGCCACCAACTGGCAGCATGGTCCCTATCCCCCCAGCCTGCCGCAGGGAGCAGCTGTGCAGGCCAGTCCTGAGGAAAACCCCTCCTCCCTGCACTGGGCCAGCCCTGGGGAAAAGGCAGTAGGTGGCCTGTGCATTCCCTGCCACTCTTGGGCTGGCCCTGGGGAGAAGCTGGTGGACAGCCTGCATGGCCCCATGATACCCCTGGGCTGGACCCATACCCAGGTTATGCCAGATAAGTTTTCCAGAATGCTTATAAACAATTAAAACTGTTTTGCATTCTTTACTACAGCTCTTGCTATCTAGTAAACACTATGATCAGGTAAATTCTTGGCTATACCTTGTTATATCAGCACAATTTTTCCCATTTATTTTGGAATCTGAAGCTCCTAGTCCGGGTCTCATTGAGGGTGAAATCTCCTGGGAAGAATTCTAAATAAGAGCATACCTCAATTTAATTATGTTCACTAGATTACCACCCTAAATCCTGAACCGCAAGATCTGTGTTACTTATAATGCACTTTAGTTTTTGGATGCACTTCCAGTTGCTATTTCATTAATTTCTTTCCTGTATTTTTTTACAATTATTTTAACAGATATGCATTGGAACAGATGAACAGCTAGAGAGTGGTGTTGCTGAAAAACCTGGACAATACTGTTCACCATGGACCAGATCCAGTAAAAATTGAATATGGTCTTCTGAATCAGGAAAATCTCAAAATACATTAAATTGTTGTTTTTCTTTTTATAATTAATATGGAGAGAGAGAAGACAGACACAACTGTAAGTTATCAAAGAGTTCTGATGACAGTCTTAACCACAAGAGTAAAGCTTGAGTAATTTTTGACATGAAAATGAGAAGACATTGTACTATATTAGTTTCTATTTTCAATGTGATCATAAACTTTCAAACCTCAGAAGCAGAGGTGGACTCTAATGCTCTGTGTTTAAGTTGTTTGTTAAAAGTCTATGATTGTTGGTGTGACTATTTGTTGGTGTGACTGTTTACTTACATACACATTTGTTTCAGCTAGAAAATACGTTTTTTAGTTCATTGAAATTCCCTCCCCCCCAGTAGTTGGGGTCAAATAAAATATTTACAACATGTCAAGACAACATTTTCAAGTTAAATGGTTAGTTTTGTAGTGGGTAATCCAATTAAGGTATTTGTTTAAACCTCTATTGTAGGTATCAAACTTGTAAATGAAATTAAGCTCTACAGCCTCCCTTTCAAGATGGTTTTTGAAATTGGCTTCTAATAATATGGAAGCTTTGAGATCCATTAATGAGTGCCTGGGCAAGTTAAAATGTTCCCAATATGTTTCTGTGTGTAACAAAAACAGCTTAATTTCATTACAAGTTTGATACCTAAAATAGAGGTTTAAACAAATACCTTAACTGGATTACCTGCTACAGTCCACATCCCAGTGACATAAAAGGCCAAACACCAGGGCTACGTCTACACTGGCACCCTTTTCTGGAAATGCTTAAAACGGAACAGTTTTCCGTTATAAGTATTTCCGGAAAAAGCGCGTCTACATTGGCAGGATGCTTTTCCGGAAAAGCACTTTTTCCGGAAAAGCGTCCGTGGCCAATGTAGATGCGCTTTTCCGGAAAAAAGCCCCGATCGTCATTTTCGCGATCGGGGCTTTTTTGTGGAAAAGACTACTGTGCTGTCTACACTGGCCCTTTTCCAGAACAGTTTTTCCGGAAAAGAACTTTTGCCCGAACGGGAGCAGCATAGTTTTTCCGGAAAAACATTGACAATTTTACAGTAGATCGTCAGTGCTTTTCCGGAAAAGCAAGCGGTCAGTGTAGACAGCTGGCAAGTTATTCTGGAAAAGTGGCTGCCCAGGGACTTAAGAGTACTTAGAACCCTCTCTATCAACTTCATTTAGCATGGAAACTCTTTAATTCACTATTTTTTTCCCATTTTTTCCCTTTACTTTCGCTCCCCATCCCCTCCTCTGTTATTTATTTGGAACTTGAACGCCCTTGAATTCCATTCATCTGAAAAAGTGCGTTGTGCCCACAAAAGCTCAGGATACCATCTACATTTTTGTTAGCCTCTAAGGTGCTGCAGGACTATTCGTTGTTTTTTTTAAGTTTTGTCCTGTATATGGGTAGGAAAGTGAATAATAAATGTATAGTGGAGCTGGTCTATTGAGACGGTGGGGATAACAGTGTAAGACACGAACATATTATGGTTATAAACTATGGTGGGAAGATTTTATGCAAGGTAAGATGTGAAATAGTTTCTGGCTTGTAAAAGGACAGATGAGTTGAAAGATGGTGTTTGACTGAGGAGGTCAAAACACTGGTGCATCACACATTGGGAGCCAGAACATAAGATGATAGAAGGGAGGTATGTTTCTTATACTGGAAGAGCAGGCGAGCTACAGTGGGTGGATATAAGTGTATCTCAGGGATCTACATCAAGGGAGGCTGAGGATACAGAAAGCAGAGAAAACTGCTTTACTCAAAATATCGTGACTTGACCTTTTTAATCTACACTGTTCTGATTCTTTAAGGTGTAGCTATTGCTCTTGGTAGGAGTTTAAAAATGTGTATAATAGAAAGCACAGCGAGCCAGCTCAAATATGCATTCCCCTGGCTGAAATGACCACGCTGTCATAGACTATAGAACACTAGGACTGGCCTCATGGCAGGACCCAGTACTGTCTAGACCATCCCTGATAGACATTTAAGGACGTCATAGTGCCAGTCCCCACTTATATTTATAACCCCAGCGCCGCCCCGCCCCGCCCCCTCCCAGGACGAACGCGCACGGCTCGGGCTTTGCCTAGCCTATTGGCAACAGCTCCCGGTGGGTTGTGTCCCAGGGGAGACTACATTTCCCATGGGGCAATGCTGCTTCAGGCTCTGTGGGCGCTGGCTGTCCGCGCCTTGCACCCTGGGATATGTAGTTCTTTCCCCCCCCTCAGTCTCCTCTTTCCCCCTATTGTGGGGAAGGGGCAACCACCTTAGCAGCTCTCGCGAGGTTTTTGAATCGCTCCGGCCTCGCGCGCGGCTTCCTCGCGAGGGCGGGCCGCCTTGGCCGGGATGTTTGGAGCGGTCGCCATTCCCCTGTGTGACGTCATAGTGCATTGTTGTGAGAGTAGCGGAGCATCCCTCAAGCTGTCAGCTGTGCTGCTGCTGCTGCTGCGGGAGCCCGA